TTTTTTTTTTGTAACTTTTCTTTTATTATTATTTTGAATTTTATTTACATTTTTATTTATAATTTGCATTTTTATTTTCTTTTTTTACTTGTGTTTTCATTAACATTTTTATTTTTATTTTTATTTGCATATTAACTTTTATTTTTTATTTTTTATTTCCCTTTCATTTTTATTGCTATTTTTATATTATTTTTTTTCTTATTTGTATTTCCATTTACCTTTTTGTTTTATTGTTTATTTTTATTAAATTCCAAGAGAAAAATTTTATAATTTGAAGAATTATTTTAGAATTTTAATAAAATTTAATTAAAATTTTCGCTTATTTATTTTGCTGTTAAGTTCAATAATTAGTTCAAAATTAGTTACATGTATATGTGAATCAATATAAGAAATAAAATGAAAATAAATTTGAAAAGATATTTAAAATATTGTCTTTATAGGCAGGTCAAATCTGAGAGTCAGTCAAAAATCCTTTGTTTATTAATAGATAAAAATGCTTGTTCTTGCCGAGAGTGGAAGTTTTCTAAGTAATTTGTCGAGCTTAATATAAAATTGACTGTTGGTAGGCGAAATTAGCAGTAAATTTTTAATAATTTTAAATATATAATAAAATTTTTATTTTTGCTTATAATATTAAGTTAATCGTATTTACGTGCCAAAGTATTTTTCAATGCAATAAACTGTTTTAAGGGAAAGACGCAACATTTTCTATGATAGTTAAATGCATTTTAAAAAATCTTAAGCAAAATTCTTTTCCCATTGTATTTATGGTTCGCGTTTTTTATAATCTGTCAAACAATTAAATTTCGTATATTTTATAATTCTATAATTGAATTGTACGTGTACATGTATAACGCCTTTTTGATATGTAAAAGTATATATATATAATAGTTAATTAATTTTATATATGTTTAATATTTGATTAATAATTTAATATTTAATAAATTGCATAATGATATGGAAATAATTGTGCGAAAATTTCTTATGCGCCGAGTGATGTGGAAAACTTGCGTGGAAATATTATGTTAAATAATTTTTTGCAAAAGATTTTAATTTATTAGAAAATATTATTATTATTTTTTAAACAAAATATTTTTTGCTAAAAAATTAGTTTTTGCTAAAAAAATTAGTTTTTGCTAAAAAATGGTTTTTATTAAAAAAAAACAGCTCATTTTTAACAAAAAACTTAAATTTTAGCGCGATTTAAGAAAAAATAATTCATTTATTTAATAAGAAACAAATTACTATTAAACATTTTATTGCTCAATGAAAGCTTAACATTTTTTTACCAGCATTAATTTTTTTTCAAATAAAAAATTAGTATTATTTTTGACAAAAAAATTTAAGTTTGAAAACAGTTATTAAAAAAAATTTTTATAAGTAAAATTAAATTTATTTTTAACAAAAAAAAAAAATAGAAAATTTGAGAAAAAATTAAGAAAAAAATAATTTCGCACTTTTCAATAAAAGTTAATTTTTTTACGCGCAGTTTCTTTAAAAAATACCTATTTTTTGCCATTATCAGCTAACGAGCTTGTTTATAAAATGCTTAAAATTTAATTAATGTTATATTTATATATTGCTACAACAGCGCTTTGTGTTCATATTTAAACTCTATTATTTTTCTGCTTAAAAAATGCTCGCTTTTCGAAACGCAGGAACTGTTTGCTTGCTAAAATTTTATAATTCTTTTTTTTTTTTACACACTAAAGTTATTTATTTATTTCTCTTAAAAGTTTTATATTAATTATATTATATATATATATATTATATTTCTCATATACTTTTATGTGCATATATATGACACATATATGTACATACATATATACATACGGGCATATATTATAAATATAAATATGTTTGGCTAAATTTAGATCGAAAACCCTACCACCATTTTGAGCGTGAATTACAAAAGAAATTCTTTTTTTTTTGCTGGCAAAATATGTATATGTATGTATGTAAGATACAAAAGATAATAAAAAAAAGGAGAAAAAGGTTTGATGCTGATCATTTGGAAAGGCGAATGGGGTATGCTTTTAATGTTTCATTTAGAGCATGTTGGAAATATCAACCCAATTTGCTTCTCTTAAATTTAATACAACAAATTTTGAAATGCCTGACATTTCGTGTATATCACGCTGTTTTTGAAGTTATGCTTGTTTGAAAAAATTTTCTCATTCCAAATGTTCCCTTCATTTTATATTAAAGTTTTTTTTTGTTTTATTTTTGAAATTTTGGCTTTCAGTAAACCGTTGACGCTTTTTAAAATTTTTCCAGCTGAAACTGAAATTTCAAATTGTGATTGATATATGCACATATGTTTGTGAAGGGAATTGCAGTTTTCGCGCTATAATTCTCAATGCTTTACCGATTTGGCTGTCATGTCAAACTGACTGAATGTGAAAATTTATTTTATTTCATAAAAAGAATATTTATTTTTATTTATTAAATAAAACAGCGAATAATAATTCTTTTTTATTTATTTTCATTTCAAAAAAAAGAAAAAGAAAAAAGGTCATGAGTAGAAATTAAACACGAATCAAATGCGAATTAAATGCTTTCATGCGTCGCCAAAAGCTTAAGAGCTTCATACAATATCACTAAAGCTCGCGGTTTCGGTTAAAAAATGTGTGACAGTGACGTTAAATATTTTAAGTTATTCATTCAATATATATTTTTTTTCTATTTTTTAGCATTAGAATAATTTGCAAAAAAAAATAACTGTGAGAAAAAGAGCTTTCGCGCGTTGGTTAAGGTAAAAATGGCTGTTGGGCTTTTTCCGCATATAAAATGTACGGAAATTGTAAAAAAATGGTGATTAAAATTTTTTAATTTGTTTTTCTTCAAAACAACAGCAGGTGCTTTCAATACGTTGCTGTAAAAAATGCGTCAAATATTAATTTTTGGCAGTTAAGGATAAAATGCTATGCAATACACAATACACATAAATATGCATTTATATACATATGTATGTATAGATGGTCGTGTGAGTATATCGAATATGGAATAACAGTAAATCGCGCTTGGCTTTTTGACTTCGCATTCGTTGGCATGTGCATTGGCCAAATTTGCGCAATAAAAATGCAATGTAGTTACAATTTTTTATAGTGTAAATTACACACAAACATATCACATGCGCAAAGGTCATTTTTTTTTTTTTATTTAAAACATTTGCAATTTTTTACGATTGTAAATTAGTCAAATGTGCTACTTTTTTGTGTGCCTTTGGAATTGCAGCAATCGATGCAAATGCGTATATTTATTTTATATGTATATATATATATATATATATATATATACGTATGTATGTATGTGTTGCTACATATACAAAAGCATACAGTTAAAAAAGGCGTAATCGCCTGAAATGTATGGATATTTATGAATAAATTTAATGGGCGCGCGCGGAAAGTGCATTTTTCGTTATGTGGCAAATTTTATTATTGTATATTTTTTTTTTAGAAACATTTAAAGAATACCACAACACGCACACTTTTACATGTTAAACAAAGAAAAAAAAAATTTATTTTCTCCATAGAGCAGTTTATACTGGGAAGACTTGGAAGCATTTGAGTGTTTTTTTTTTATATTTCGTTTTGTTTACAAAATTTTACCAATTTTTATTTGTGCCTAAATTTGTTTTTGTTATCCTAGAACTAACTACAATTTAGACCTGGGTTCCAATAAAAAAAACCTGCAGTTTGAGCAGTTAAAAAAATTGTGTGCATTTTAAAAATTAATTGCATGATATTTTTTCCTTTTGGAAAACGCAGAAGTCTCAAAATGGCATTTTGAATTTCAAAATATTAAATTTAATTATCAGTAGCATGTACTTTTGTTTGTATGAATTTAGGAAAATAATTTTTTTTAACTCTATTAAAAACTGTGTAACGCAAAAATGTGAAATCGAAAAGAAAGTTCCGAAAATTTTGAGGTATTTAGAAAGTTTTCTAGTTCTGTAGTATTCATATTTTTTTTTTGACGAATTTCTTATTGTAGTTTAAAGTAATTTGTTGTTTTGCTATACAGACAACTAAATTGAAAATGCGGTAACCCTACACTTATGTTGCATACATTTTTCTTGCTTATGCTTAAATAGGTCTAAACTACATTTTTTTAAACAACCTTTCAGCGTGTGCAGCATTTTTTAATTAGAATTTTTAATCTAATCTTTTATTTTTTTATCAAAAAATTTGTATGTCTTTAGCTAGCTTAGATTTGTGCTTAATCATATTTATGTTTTTATTTGTTTTTTGTTTTGTTTTTTGTTTCTTGGTCACATGTCTTAAGATTTACTTCACACAACTAACCTAGCAAATTTGGACACATTCTGTTTTTGAGTTTTTGATTCGTTTCGCATTTTACATATACGAACATATAAATATTTCATCTACACAGCACTTTCCAGTGTCCAGTTGGTGTTAAACCAAGAAAAGATTATTTCACGTCAAATATTATGGGAAAAATATTTATAGCAGAGAATGAACGGAATAGCGGGTTTTCGCCGGGAGCGCCTTTACTAGCATTTCATAGTTACACTGAAGATTTACACGCATATTACATACATATTTTCACCTCTCGCACTTAGTTTAGTTTACTAGCATACTTTATTTGTTTATGGTTTTTTTAATTTCTGTTTCGTTTTTTTTTTTTTTTATAATCTCAATATAAAATATTTGCAAAAGTTTTTAAGACTCGCTTTTAGAAAAATTTTGCGCACAGTTGCATTCTATAAGTTTTATTTATATTAATATTATAGTTGTAGTTGTTTCTCTATGTTTATTATTTTTTTTTTGGCTTTTTATCGAATTTACAATGTTCAGTTTGTTTAGCTCTTTTCTGTTTTTACTTTATTTTATTTAGCTTTCTGTAATTTAACCATTTTGCATGATTTCTTGTCTATCTATTGCCATTTTTGTTGCTATTATTGTTGTTGTTGTTGTTGTTGTTGCAGTTGAAGTTTGATAGTAATTGTGTTAATAAAATGAAAATTAAACACAAACCTAAACATCTTTGGTCGGGCGTCGCCTTCAGGCATGACGTATTCGTTTTATCATTTGCCATTGCACTGGATTCGCCAACCTGCAAGTAGAAGAAGGACAAAAAGTTCTTTGTAGAAAAACTAAATGTATTTTTACATATACCTTATATATATTATTATATTTTCTTAATTAAACAATTTTCTAGCAAAACGATGAAACTTAAAAATTTGCTCCGAAAAAACCCTTAAGGAAAATGGTAAATGCTGAATATCGTTGCCGTCAGTGAAAATATCGATACGGTAACATTGCTATGCCGTTCAACGCCATCGTCAATGGTATCGACAGGCGATGCTGTTGCGCTGTTACGTCGGTGTTATCGTCAGTGTTACCCCCATTGTTTCCTATCGTTGCTTATCGTCTCTTATCATCACTCATTTTACGCACGATCCTTCAACGTGGCAGACGAAGCAGAATTTAAAGCGGCTTACGACAAGTGGGAAATAAGCCACATTTAGCTGGAAGTTTCCGTATAAGCGTTATCCAACACAATTTGAAAGAAGAGTGGAGAGTTATTGCCACAAAAATTAATGCGATAGGACCATGGCGATCGATGGTGTTAGGTATATTCAAAGCATGAAAAAAATTAAACTGTTCATGAAGAATCAAACGAGGAATTTTCTCGAGTAAGTGTTCCGTCAGCAGATGAGGTGCCAATTGCTGTCACTTCGTGCAGCGTAATTTCAACAACGATCGCCACTGTCTACGATGAAAATTAAAATTTTTTTTTTTTAAATTCTTCATCGCTAGAGCTTGAAAAGAACAATTTGTATTCAATTTTTTTTAATTTAAAATCCGGTTTTATGGTTTCAGCAAACTTCACATCTTGAATATGTCATTCAAAAATTAACTGAATAATTTCATGAATAAATATCTCAAAAACTGAAAAATTTCCCGTCCAAAGTGGTTTCCGAGTTTCTCAATTCACAACGTTTTGTCTGCGTTGCTTGTGCAGAATACCAAAATAAAGACGTACCGATGAAAGTGACGATGAACATTGATGATCGTCAGCGAAGACGAATACTGCCTTACTCTCTTCTTAAGCAAGTTGTACTTGTACATGATGTGGTAAGAAGTGTCGTTAAATTATTAAAGAGACAGTATGGACGAACGGACACTGCAAATCAACTCATTTTGTGACGAACTTTAACTGTATAAAGGAGTAGTAACAAGAAAACCATTATTTTTCCAATAGATGGCGTTATTTATCTGTATTTCGCGTTGTATAAGTCCGATCGGGCTCCGCTAGATGGCCTTAGAAAGATGACATTTTGTACTAAAAAAGCTTTTCTGACAGTTTTGTTTAAGGGTGGGGTTAGCAAAGTGAAAATAGGTATATTTTATAGTTTTTCTTTGAAAACGCAAGTCAGGCAGCTGAAAATGTGAATAGCGTTTAGGGTCCTGATACTCTAACAGTCAATCATGCACAATTTCGGTTGCGATCCGGTAATATTCCGGCGTGGAAGGCCAATTCTCGAAAATGTCGATAAAATCATGGATACTGTTTTGATTGCCCAAGAGATGAAAGTAAAAAATGAAGCCTTCAATTTCATGAAAAAAAATAATGGATTTCTTTTTACTGCACCAATTCAGTTATGTCTACATACGACTCTTTGCTGAACAGTGCAATATACACGTACATATCTCTGCGAGAGTTCTTCCCATAAAAACGTATAAAGGCAAAAAGTGCATTAGAAAAAAAAAAACAAAAAAAAAAATCGTATAAATAAAAGTAACTGCAAAGTAACTTTAAAATACCGTTAACAACTTCTATATCAAGTTCCCCGTACATTTCACGGACATTTCCCATTTATTTTATACATTCAAGGTTGACAGCTCTGCATTAATATTTTCATATGCACACACAAACATATGTACATATACAAAAAAAAAAAAAAAATTTGTGCAAAATGAAGTACGCGTCACTATCAAAATAGAGTTCAAGTTGCATGAAAACTTCAAAAAGAAAAAAAAACAACTAAAAATAAAAATAAAATTGCGGAAGAAAAAGAAAAATTTCTTCCTGCAACAAACTACATACTTACATATACGTATGTATATATTTATATATGTATGTATGTACTCACAAACGGGTGTATAAAAACTTTATATTCGCTGCAATGAGCAACAGGCCAGAATAACATTAACAACAACAGCAAAAACTGCTGAGGGGAAGAACTTTAAGTAGCCTTGAAAAAGTGACGAAAATCAAAGAAAGAAAATTTAACAGTGAAAAGTAGACACAGGGGATAAGCAAGAAAGTACAAAAATACTAAAAAAAAAAGCTGTAAATAGAGTAAAAGAAGGATGTGGAAAATTTTAAGAAGGAAAAAATGGCAAAACAATGGGCAGCGGTCATTGCCACATTTACTTAGCCACAATGTAGTTGCACTAGTTGCATTGCTTCACTGCTCTTAAGTGACCATTTAACTGGACTTTTGAATTATATACGAGCATGTAGTTATATGCATGTACTTGTTTGTGTGGTTGTGTGTATGCATTACGAGTATGACAACGGAATGCTTTTGCCGCAAAGTAGACTTGTGTATGCACATATACACCCATACTATCATATGTATACGGATACGAACGCGCTTGGCATGCCACGGAATGTCGCATGCTGCCTTGCAGTCTGCTGCTGCCACAAGCGATGACATGACCAATGGCGTGAATATTTCGACTGGCGTGCCTTTTAGCGATGGGCTAGAGGGGGGGTAGAAGTGGGGTTTGTCTGGGTAACTCAACCCCATTAACTGCTTGTTGAGTATTAGTTACTCTAGTCAGCTCCTTAGCGTACTCTACCCGCTTTGCACAACCACATGCAATGTGCGCGCGGTGCGGTGCCATCGTCCCGGCTCGCTGGCTGGCTGGCAGCCGACAAGTGTCATGCATGCAACTACTAAATGCACTCATAAATTTAAAGGATCCCCACTAGGTACGCAACGCGAAATGTATTTTGCTTTTACTTTGGCTTTGGCTTTGGCTTTGGTTTGTTAAGTTATTTATATAAATACTCATACATACATACTTACATACAGTTAGTTTATGTTTTTGTGGTTATTTTCAGTGTATGTATGTATTTGCTAAATATGTGAATGCAACAACTGTGGCCAACCATTACGAGTGTGTCCTGCTCTTCCTCTCCGTGCTTTTGCCTTTGCTGTGGTCACCATGCATTTTATAACGCACACACACACACACACACACACACACTCGTATTTATTTATTTATTTATTTGTATCCTCGGCCAAGCAGCGCATGAAAAAACGAAACTAAACAGGAAAAATCGCTAAGAGTAATAGAAAGAGAGTTACGAGAGAATTAACAGCAGTAGCCGTGGTAGCAGGCAATGCAGCGCGAGGGCAAAGGCAAGGCGACGGCCAGCGACTTGTGGCAGACGAATTGGCAGCTGTAGGTTATTCAACTTTGGTACATAGTTTATTACATACAAATACATATTTTTAAACTTTGTTGCATTATTTACGGTTTTGTATACATTTTTGCTAGATAAATTTATTTACTCTTTGATGCCAAGTTTGGTTTATGTCTTTTTTTTTAGTGCGGATAGTTTTCAGATAAAAAAAGAGGAGATGAAAAAAATGTCCTTGCGCTTGGCACTATATGTAGTAGTGCATGTGTACATATGTATCTAATTCTCTATGTAATTGCTTACAAATAAACTTTGAAATAAATAAATAATTATCTGAATCGAGTTCGTTGCACTTGCCCCGCGTTTATAATAGAGTTTTAAGCTTATTTAAAAAAAATATAAAATACATATTTTACCCCTCCGAGGGCATTTCCGAAATGTAAATCACACCGGGCTTAGAATAAACTGTAGACCCCACTCATATATTGGAAAATCATTAAGACGAATAATCGTACAAAAATATGAAGAATCTCTAAGAGATTTGTTCTAACTTGGTATCACTGTTAAACTTACTGATGCTGAACAAAATTGCAGGTCAAGTTAGGACAAACTATCAGGAAAGAGGAGCAGGACGAGTTTACGTCCTGTTCTCTAGACAAAGGCAAATATAGATTCAAAAACCTTCAGGTAGCAATGTAGTTTATCTGGTAATTTTATGGACTCGACCTACCTGGCAATACCTAACCAAATCATCAATGTATTTCCGTTATGACTCCGACTTTAAAATAATAGATATTTTCGTCTAACTAACACCAACAACAGCAACACTAAGAACAATAATCTCAGTCTTGAAATCCAATCCCGAATCACCTTGCCTATAGGTGTTCTTTTGGACGTAGTAGACAATTGAAAAGTAAACTTCCTTAACGATGTAGATAGATCAAATTCTACAAGTCCCTCATCATACAGTTGCTGCTATATGAGGCAGAAGTGACGAAATCTGATGAGACGGCGTTGGGAGTTTTCAAGTGAAAGATTTGATTCATGCTTTTTGGATCTTTGCGCATTAACAATGTCGAGGAAAGCAGCACGAGATACTCGTGTTAAGGTTTTTTCCAATAAATAGAAGGATTTCCGTTTATTCTAAGCCGCCTCCGAACGGCTGATGGGTTCATATGAGGAGCTTTTATTTTCAGGACAGAAATACACTCGGAGGGGTTTCCATTTCCTGTCGATGAGCGATTGCTATTAGAAAAATTAAGTTAATTTTATATGTTGACTGGACCAGGACTCGAACCCTGATCTTCCGCATGGTAGTACGCACTGCAAATCACTCAGCTATTGCAGCCACCACATTACGGAATTGACATGGTACAAGGACTTAAGCGACAGTAGAAATTTTTTGACGCCAGAGGAAGCAGAAAAAGACGAGGACCTCCATTCCGATAAATATTGAAGGATGGACTTGGTGCATCCATTCGGCGCCGAAGTACAAACATGAAACGACTGACGCGTTGACGTTGGTACGGCTGTAATCGCTCAAACAGTGCCTAATGCAGTAGCGAAGAAAAGGAACAGATGAAAGGAGTTTTTTTTTCGTATCAGAAAAAATCGAGGATTCCCCGAGTCGAGTGCTCGACAACGGTACTCCATCACTTCAGTTTGATTGCTAT